CTCTGGGGTCGCGCGGGAGTCCCTTAAGGGTCTGAGTGGTGTCACCTGCAGTCGGTGGCCCCCCTGAGTTGGCGTCTCCTGCCGCAGAGGCCCAGGCCCGCTCGGTGAAGGCAGCGCTGCGCTTCCAGGGCTACCCTAGGCGCGCGCTGGCACAGCTCCCTGACGACGGCTCCCAGGGCGGCCGCGAGCTGCTGCTGGCCCTGGCCTGGCTCCTGGCCCGCGGGCCGACGCTCGAGCAGCTGCTGGCCCAGAGCCGGGTGCGGCTGGGCGACGAGATGCCAGTGTGCGAGGTGGGTGCAGGGTGAGGCCGGAATCTTGGGTGCAGGCGCCGGATCCCCGGGTCAGCCCTGTGGGGGGTCGGTATTGGTGCCCGTTGAGTGCAGGGAGGCAGGGCAGGGTGAGGTGTGGTGCCCACAGGGCCTGTCCCTGACTCTTTCTGGAGCTCCCAAGACCTCACGGCTCTCACTCGCAGGGGCCTCCTTTCTCTTTCCCCTTCGGGGTCACTGCTTGGGGTGTGGGAGCAGGGCGTGACCCTTGCCCCCTCCCCAGTGTGAGTCCCTGGCCAGCCCAGGCCCAGCTGTACCCAGTGTGGAAGCAGACGGCTGTGTGGACATCCGCCACCTGCAGTGGCTGATGGGAAAGCTGCGGTTCCGGTGGCGAAAGCTGATGGCCAGTCAGCAGGAGCAGTGTGCCCTCCTGGGCAAGGTAGTGCCACTGTGCATTGTCCACCCGGGGCAGTTGTCCTCTGTGCTACAGCCTGGCAGGCTGCCTCTCCTGCCTGTGGCTTTCTAGCATTCCCAATTCAGGCTGCAGCCCGGCCTTTGGCTGGATGTGAGCCTTCCTAGGCTGGGGGCTGACCATTTGGGCACTGCCCTGGAGTGGCCCAGAGCCTGAACCTAGGGCTCCAGGTTGTCCTGGAGGGGCCCCCATTAGGGGGCCTAGAGCAGGTGTTGCTGGGCATCGGTGGGGCAGGGAACCAGAGGGGCAGGGAGCCTGCAGGGTTGGCTTTCCTGTCCCCAGATGTCACCAGAAGCCTTATACTCTGTGTCACTGCGCAACGTGGTGGACTCTGGGCCCTGGGGAGCTGCTGCTGCCTGGACATGAGATAGGGAGGCGGGCACCCCCTTCTCCCACCACGTCTGGGTGTGGGGTCATGGTGGTGGGCAGCTCCTGCAGGGTTCCTGCAGGCCGGTAGAGCTGACCTGTGGGGCACAGATGTCCCCCACAGGCCCACTGCATGGTCTGGGCTGAGAGGTGACTGGGCAGGTGGCACAGGGCTCTTTGGTGCTAGAACCCCCCAGCCTGTCTTTTGCTCAGCCAGCCTTTCCTGGGACCCCTCACTCCCTCTTGTCCCACCTGGGCTCCTGCCACTCCCCCTGCTTGGGACATGCCTACCTGTTGACCTCCCTGCTGCCTTCAGGCCTCAACCTCACTGAGATGCCCTCCCTGGCCCCCCAGACCCAGATAGTCTGTGTCCCTGCCATTCACCTCACTGGACCACTGAGCCTATCCAGAGGCTGTTTCTCTCCCCAACATGGGCCTGGCACTCAATGAGCTGAGGAGGAAGCAGGGGTGCCCTACTCCATCCCTCCTGCACTCCTGGGACCTGGTGGGGAGGCCACGGGGTGGGGGCTGTCAGAGGTGCTGACTATTCTCCTGAGCCTCACCCTCTCTGAACCCTGTTTCCTTGTCTGTAAGGTCCCTGCCTAGTGCTGGGGGAGGCGCCCGCCCCCGCTCAGCCTGGGGTCTGCGCTACCTGTTTCAGATCCACTCATACACCCGCGGCTGCCACAGTGACCGTAGCCTTGGCCACCTGTCTGTCACTGAAACGGAGCTGCTCAGGGACCCGGAGGGTGGCCAGCAGGTGAGGGCTGGTGGGACCAAGGTGGGCGTTGCCCAAGGTGGGAAGTGGGCTGGGGGGAGGGCTCAGGCAGTGGACCAGCTTTGAGCTGTGGGTGTTGGTGTTGGCTGAGCTCACCATCTGCCGGTGTTGGTGACAGGCCCAGCCTCAGGCTCTCTGCTGCCCCCTGGGCTGTCCAGGGCTGTAGCAGTTGACTGGTTGCTGTGTGTGCGCACATGGCTGAGTACAGTCAGGGTGAGAGGAGCGCAGGCACCTGGGCTGTGCTGGCAGCCAGCTGAGGGAAGTTTAGGAGTTAAGGAAGACCACTCAAGGGTCCTAGCTGATGGTGTTGGTGCCTTGAGCCCGTGCAGGTGTCACCTGGTGATGAACAGGGGCCCAAGGGGGGGGGTCCCTACCCTCTGCTGTCCTTCTTTCCAGGAGCCCCGTATCCATCATCATTGTTTCCCTCCCTTGGGCCGTCATGGCCAGGGGGTCCTGGGACTGGCTCAGGGCTGGTCATTACGTGAGGGCTGGGGTCTGGCCTGTCCAGAGTGTGAGGCTTGGCACTGCGCGGTCTAGGGAGACTTGGTCAGGCAGAACGGCTGAGGCTCAGGACTGGGTGTGGCCCCTCCTTCCAGACCGAGCAGATCCCAGCTGTAAAGCCGCGTACTCCTGGGGAATCTGCATCCCCTTTGTGGGGTCAGGGCGGCTCCCACAGGTCACCTGCCCGGCCCAGGTTCCTGGGTGATGCCTGGCTGTCCCTCCTGGGCATCCTGTGCTTGGCACTGGAGGAGCTGAGGCAGCAGCTGGGTGTACTGAGATGCCCTTGGCTCAGTCGCCTTTTAGGGGTGACTCAGCGAAGCCCGGGCTTCCTGCCTCTGGTTCCCCTGGTTGGATGGAGCAGAGGGCAGGCCAGTTCCCGCCTGGTGCTGCCTGGGACCCTAGCCTCTGAGGGGATGGTGGGGCCGTGTGGGTGTGGCTTCCCCCTCCTCCTAGAGGCTGGTGCACGCTGGTGCCACAGGACTGAAGATGGCGTGGCCAGGTGCGTGGGGGCCGTGGTTGGCTTCCTTCCAATGTATCTGGATAGGGAGCTGGTGGAAGCCTGGATCAGCCTACGTGAAGGGTCTGCGCTCTTGGGATGGGCCCCAGAAGCTTCTGGAATGATCTCTAGTTCCTCTGTGAGCAGCCAGACGTGCTGTGGAGTGGCTGGGCAGCGTCCTTGGTTACTGGCTGGGCCTGCAGCCTTCTCACATCCCTGTGCCTCCTCCCTGCCCCCATCCTAGGCAGTGTGGGTGAGATGGGGAGGAGGCTGCCTCCGGAGACTCCAGAATTGGGGGCCAGCCCACAGGTGGGGGTGGTGCAGGGGGCCTGAATGCCTGTCCCCTTTTCCATGACCTGGGTGGGGTGGGGTGGGGGGCACCCTCTGGGACTGTTCTTGGAAACCAAATTAGCTGCTCTTCTCACTGGCCAGCAGGTGTGTGTAGGTGTGAGGTATGGGCAGCCACCTTCCATGGCCCACAGCCCTTCTGGGCTCTGTGCTCCCCCAGGCCGCAGGGCGGTTCTCCTGCAGGCCTGCCTCTGCCCTCCTTCACTCGCCACGGGCTGGGTCTTGGCCTGGTGTTCACAGCCGCCCCTATCCCGACCCCCGGCCTGGGAGCCCCCCACGTTCTAGCTGTGGCAAGCCCCTGGCTGCCTGGCCAGCACTCTGGGTTCCTTGTGGAGCCAGGGGTGGGGCAGGATTGGGGAGCCAAGCAGGGTCCCCCCACCCCCCCGGCCAGGGGAGACTCTGGGTCCTAGGTGCACATGGCCGAGAGCACATGCACCGGCCCTGTGCAAGTGGCGGCCTGACAGAGCTCGTCTGCCGACAGGGCAGCCGCCGCGTGCTGGCCGTTTGTCTGGGGCTCTCTCCAATAGAAGGAGCCTTGTGGAAGGCCGGGTCGTTGTGCCGGCTGCTGTCTTCAGAAAGGAGCCACGGCGGGGGCTGGCCTGGGCCTTCCCGGTGGGACAGGAGGCGGGCGGGTGCTGAGAGGCTGAACTGCCCTCCCCGGGGTGGGCCGCGTGGGCCTTGGCTGTGTGGTGGGCAGGGCCCCTCGCGGCTGCCAGGCTTCCCAAGGTTGAGGCCGGGCCGGCGGTGCGGCAGCACGCCGCTGTGTGCAGGCACGTGGGAACACTGGACCCTGCGGGCTGCTCGAGCGCATGCGCGTTGATGCAGGGTCGGAGGGTGCAGGGCTGTGCTTGCCACGGGGGTAGGGTGGGGAGCTGGGCAGAGCTCCCCGCCCTGTCGAGTGCTGTGCGGCTGCGGTCTCCACCCTGCCCATCCTCCGTCACCTCCGAGATGGGCACCTCACAGCCTCTGCCCTGCCTTTGGGGTTCACGAGGTTACCGGGTAGCGATTTCCAGAGCCCAGTAGTCTCCTCTGTCTGGGGCCGCCCCATATGCCTGAGGCCTCCAGGGTGCAGCCACCAGCCAGCGAGGGATGTGGGGTGGAGGTCCCGAGGGAGGGGGTACCTGGACTCAGTCCCTGACCCCGCAGGCCTGGTGGTGGGGGCTGGCAAGGGGCCCATTGGTGTGGTCTGAGACCTGGTCGTGCCTGGAGGAGAGGCTGCTCTGCCCTTAAAGGAGGTTGCTCGGCCAGCGGGTGGGCTGAGTGGGTGGGGTGACTGGGGCGACTGGGCTCCGAGGCCAGAGGGTGGCAGGCATGGTCCTGGTGCTGGGAGTGTGAAGCCGGCAGGCTTCTTTCTCCCCTGATGGTTTGTGTTCCAGCTGCTGCAGAGGCTGGAGCGTGAGAATGTGCGCCTGGAGGCGGCCCTGGAGTGGCGGCGCCGGGAGCTGGTCTTCTGGCAGTGGATGGTCAGGAAGCCCATGCCACCCACCTCCCTTCCTGTCCACTTTCCTGGTCTGACCACAGCAACTCTGGGTGGTGGAGGGCGGCTTTCCATTTTCCAGACCTGAAGAGGAGTCTCAAGGAAGCGCCCCAAACCCAGCCATGAAGCCGACTTTACACTAGGCCTGTTGGCTTTGAATCTTGGACTCTTTCCAGATGTCCGTCTGTCCCATCACCCACCCTTCCCAGTGCTGAGGAGGCCCAGACTTCACAGGGGTTTCAGCCTCCCGGCCTGTGGCGGGTGATGGTTGATGTCAGCTCACTGTGACCCAGACCTGGGGGAGGGGTGGCTGCTGTACCTGCTGGCTGGGGAGCTGGGCCTGCCGCCCACTCTCTCCCTGGGGTCTCTCTCTGCAGGACACAGTCCTGGGCGCCTGCCCCCCGGAGGCCTCACAGCCCACGTTTCTGCCCAAGATCCCCGCGCAGGGGGCTGCAGAGTTGGAGCTGGTGGTGCGGGAGCTGCAGGCTCTGCAGGAGGAGCTGCAGGGAGTGGCGGAGACCCGGTGGGCGGCCTGGGAGGCCAGGGTGAGGGCTTGGGGTGCTGCTCCGGGGTGCATTTGACAGCCTAGAAGAGGTGCACTCACGTGCCAGACCCCGGGCCAGAGGGTGCAGGGGAGGAGCCCCCGCTGCCCCACCCCAGCCACTCCAGGCCCCACCCACCCTCTTGGAGGGTGTTCGTTCTCCCAGGGCCATGATGGTGTTGTCCCCCAACTTTGCCCAGGCCCTACGACCCGTTTGACCTGCTAGTGGACACGTGGGCCCCCCCAGCCTCTCTCCATGAGCAGGACTGGGTGAGCACCTGTGTTTGTGGCTGTGAATGGTGGGCCCCAGGCACTGCATCTCCTTTCTTTTTTCTGAAGCGTCTTAAACTGCAGGCATGATTTTCCCCTTAAAGTCTTCCACGCGCCCCTGGACAGCAAGGGTATTTCCTTGGGCCTTGCAGCCGCAGCTCTTCAGGGCATGCGTGGCCAGGTCCCCTCTGGCTGGGCCAAGTTGGAGCCCCTCTCCTCTTGGGCAGTGACAGCTCGGGCACTGTGGATGTTTGCAGGCAGTTTCTTGCAGAAAGTGACACTGCTGCTTGTCAGGGCTCAGGGCTTCTGATGCTTCCTTCTTGGGAACCTTGGAGCAGTGCCCACTGAGGGGTGGGGTCCAGGCAGCTCCTGGGGACACAGAGGGCACAGCCTGTCTGTACTCCCAGCTGCCTGCAGGGTCTCCGGGGTGGGTTCTGCCCTAAGGACTGGAGTGGCCTCACCAGCTGTGCCCTCGGCCCAGTGTCCCCTCAGCCTTGCGTCCCCTTGGGCCAGGCCCACTCCGTGCCGCCCCTCCGGGAGGGAAGTGCAAAGGGGGAATGTGGATACAGCAGAGGATGGGTAGGTGGGTGGTGGGAGGCTGGCCCTGGAGTCGGGGAAGGAGAGGGTTGGGGCTGTCCCGAGGGTCTGCCCTCTGGGCTCTGAACAGGTCTGCTGGGAGCAGCCGGGCCCACTCCCCTCGCAGTACCCGGTGAAAGAGCTGGGCCTGCAGCTGGGCGGCCCTGAGGGCTCAGGCCCTGTCCCTGGAACCTCACAGCCTCTGGCTCAGGCTGATGTGCTGGGTGAGGGTGATGCAGAGCCTGGAGGGGCCAGGCCTTTGAGCTGGCACTGGGGTTAGTCCCTCCTCCCTGGGAGCAGTGGAATCTGGGCTGTCAGCCCTCCTCGAGGCCCTGGTAGGGGCTGCAGGACTGCTGGGGTGGTGTCAGGGCTCTGAGAGCCAGGGGTGCCTGGAGCCAGTGTCCTGGGTGGGGCTGGCCGCCCTGGGCTCACTTGCGACGTCTTCTGTGCAGGTTGGAGGCCACGGGCCGGAGTGGAGCGCCTCAAGGCGGGCCTTGCAGGAGGCCGTGAGACAGGACCTGGTGGCTCTGCAGTGGGCCTGGGAGCGAGGAGGGGGCCTGGCCCAGCCCCATGGGCCCCACCGGCTGGTGAGGACTGAGGCTGGGGCCCCTGAGGGCCGGGGCCTGCAGGCCACTGAGGTGATTGAGGTTCTAAGGAGCCGGGAGGCCTGCCTGGAGGTGGTGCTGGGCCAGCTACAAGGTCAGTGTCGGCAGGAGCTGGCCAGACTGGTGGGAACCCTGCCTGGCCTCATCTGGATCCCACCGCCTGGACGCTGAGGGCCGGCAGCGCATCCTTCCTCGGGGCACCGAGCCTGCTCAGCCTGGCTGGGCCCTGAGGGACAGATTCCAGGGCTGGGTGGCTGCTGAGGTAACACAGACTCACAGCCCAGTGTGCTCACTCTGGGCCCTGGGGCTGGTCCCACTTGGCCTGCAGTACTGGGGGCAGGCCTGGGCTATCCCCTCTGAGGAGACCATGACAGGCCCATTGGGGTGGCTGCGGGCATTCAGGATCCAGAGAGGACCCAGAAATAAGATGTGGAGACCTCCTTGCAGGGGTGAGGCTCCTGGCTGTCCCTCTGCCCCCTTTTGGGGGGTGCTGCCTTCAGGCCAGGGGCAGTGGTGGCTGAGGCTGGGCTGGTCCAGGGCTGCCTGGATGCTGGAGGGACAGGCATGGCCTGCAGCTTAGGGTGGGCTCAGCCAGGGCCCTCGGGGAGGAGATGGCCCTGGATACCCCCTGGACCCTTCATCCCGACACCCTCACACCCTGCCTGGGCCATGCCTGTGCTTGGGAGGGGGTGTGGTGGGAGGCAGGGTCACCTGATGGGAGCCTGGAGTGGGGACGGTTTCTCCTTTCCTGGGGTGGCACCCTGAGGGGGAGGGGGAGGCCACTGTGTACAGAGGGGGCTTTGTTCCCTAGCCTGCCTGGGGAGCTGGGCTCTGCTCTGACAAAGAGCCATCTGTGTCCAGGGGATGTGTCCCCAGCCTGCCAGAACAGGCCCCTCTCCATCCCAGGAGGCTGGGAGTCCCAGCGCCCACCCCTGACCCCAGCAGACACAGGCAGCCTCAGCCCTGCCTCCCTGGCCAGGCTCCCCTCTTACCAGGTCAGTCGAACCCCTACCAGCTGCTGAACAGGCGAAGGAGCCCGTCAGCCACCTACTGCTCAGGCCAGAGGCGACTTCCAGCCCCCACCCACCCCCAGCCTTCCCTCACCGGCTTTTCCTGGCTGCCTGGGAGTGTGATGGCTCGCACCCAGGCACCAGCTCAGGCGCCAGCCCGACTTGGCCAGTCTGGCCCTCCTTTGTCCAAGGGTTGGAGCAGAGGACACCCCTGTGGAGCTTCTGCACTGTCCTTGGCCTCAGGAGCGCATCCCTGATCCTCTCCTCATGGGGCTGGCCCCAGAGAGCCCCTGGGCCCATGCCCACCCCTCCTGGCCAGAGCCGTTCCCTCCACGCCCCTGGCTCCCCTTCCCAGCTCCTCTTAAGGGCTCCCTGCTGGTCCCAGTTGGGGTCCAGGGCACCGGGACCCTGGCCCTCTGCCTGCAGCCCTTGGAGTGTTTGACGCCACTTCTGGACCCCTCCCTGCTATGCCCTCAGCCATCCTCCTGACTGCTGGACAGAAACCTCATCCTGGAAATGAGTCCACCTAAAACTCTGCCTTCTGTGGACTCTGTGGAGCTGAGACGGCCACTGGCCCTCGGGAACCTGACTTTCAGAAACTCAGCATCATGGAGCTGTCACTTCTCAGATCAACCTGTAGGTTCAGTACAATTCCAGTCAAAATCCCAAGCATGTCTGTGGGAGTTCAGCTGGTGATTCCAAAGTGCACGAGGTGGCACCGGCCTGAGAGGCCAAGCCCATGGGAAGCAGTGGCCGCAGAGGAGCAGGGGCCTCCCGAGGCGACAGGCGGCAGGCCTGGGCCCGCACTGTCCCCACAGTCAGTGGCTGGAGAAGTGCGGAAGTTGTTTCGCTGTGGATAAACAAGATTGTACTGTACAGCACAGGGAAATATACACAAGATCTTAGGTTGCTCACAGAGGAAAAAATGTGACAATAAATGTATGTATGTTCATGTATGACTGAGAAATTGTGCTCTACACTGGAATTTGACAACGTTGTAAAATGATTATAAATCAATAAAAATGTTAAAAAAAAAAAGAAAGAGAGAAGAAGTTGTGTTCCTGTACTGAACCCTGCAGGTCTAAGTTGGGGTCTCGCCAGGCTGAGATCAGGCGTGGGCAGGCAGGAGGCTGTGGGGAAAGTCCGCCCTGGACTTCAGTCCTCACACAGACTGCCACCTCCGACACCCCCCCCCCCACCCCACTGCCCTGGTCAGCAACTTCAGTCTCCTTCCTGTGACATGTCAGCTTTACAGGCCTGACATGGGCTGAGACCTTGCCCACCCTCCCCCCGGACTCATGGGACAGATGGGGGTGGGGGCGTTGTGGGTCCACGTGCACAGGAGTCTGGCCCCGGGCAGTGAGGGCTGCCCTGCGTGAGTGTGTGTCACCGTGTCCACGTGAGGACGCGACTCCGGACCACAGGGTTCACCCCAGGATGCAGAGACAGCGCTGCAGGAGGTAAGGACTCCATGCTGCTCTTGGGAGTGATTTTCTTTTCTTTCTTTTTTTTTTAATCCAAAATGTGTTTATTGGGCTGGTTTCCCATCCATCTTGACACAGGATGCTTTTAGTGCTGCGTCCGTCTGAAGGAGCATCCTTCTGTAACTCCTGTAGGCTGCAGAGGACAGCAGAGCAGCCAACACACGAAGCTACTGTTTGTACATGGCTAAAGACGGTGGTGACTGTACAGCGTCCTGGGCGTTTCACACCCATGAAACAGGAGCTGGGGCTCTGCACCAGGCGCTGCTTCTTGCGTTTCCTCTTCTCTTCAGGAGAGGGATGAAGGAGCTTTGCGAGAGGCATGTTCCCGTGGGGAGGTTGTCACCGCTGGAAAGGGGGAGTGATTTTCGAAGACTGCGGATAAGACAGACTCTGTCAAGACTAGAAACCTGCTCATGAAAAGACCCTGTAAGACAGCGAGAGGACCAGGCAGAGCAGCTGTGACATCATAGCCTGTGAAGGGTCGGCAGGAGCAGACAGCTCTCTGTCACTGGGAGAAAGACGGAGGTCACTGAGCAAAACCCTGGGGCAGGCGCTGCGGAGAAGAGGGACCAGGGAGTCAGATGAGTGAGTCATGCGCCTTGGCTGTAACCAGGACGCGCAGAGACACCTGAGTGAGTCTGAGCTCGGGCTGGTGTGCAGGGCTGGGTGGATTCACCCTGGGAGGCTCTCGGCCGTCTCGGGGGCCAGAGCGGAACATGGGAGATCCCACTAGTTGGCCAAGGAGAGTGGACGAGGGAGCACCGTGGTGGGGGCAGCGTGGTGGCCTCCTGGGGTCCGGAGTCAGAAACTCAGAGCCTGAGAAAACACAAGCATGTCGCAGAAGGTGACATACAAGGAGACCTTAAGAAGCAGAACAGCCATGACGCGGGCAGGGGAGGGATTTGCATCCTAGGCGTCACCTCAGGACAGCGAGGGCCGCGCCGCGGGGGCCACGGGGGCCGCGGCGGTCGCAGGTCCTACTTTGACTCACACTCACCAGTGTGGTGTCTGCTGCTTGTGTTGGACATGACATCATGTGCACCCCCGTGGCCGTGCCTGCACACACGCTCTGTCGCCTCCAGCATTATGGTCCTTTGGGCTCCCGGCCTTGCTGCCCGCTGGCTGGCTTCCCTCTTTCTTGTCCTCGTTTGCACTGGGTGACTTTGGATTGACCTTGGCTGCGGGGTGTGGCTGGCTGGGAGGCTGACTGGTCAGGACCACGGTCCCTGCGGGCCCCTGCAGGCTGAGCCTCTGAGTGGATGCCTGAGGGGTGTTCCCAGTGTTCTGCTGAAGTCCAGGTTTAGGTGGAGGGGCCATTTCTTGGTGGCATTTAGGAGAGAAGTCCTGTTGGTGGGCGTGGTTGGTGACCTTGGTCCATAGCTCCCTCCACCGTGTCCTTGCCTGCGGCTGTGGCCACAAGGCTGGCGACCATGCTGTCGTGGCCCTGCACTCCTGGGCCCCCAGCAGGCTCTTGGGTGGTGAGTGCAGTGGCCACTGTCCTCTGTCCCTTCCTGGCCAAGCTGGGCCATTTCTCCATTCATCTGTCAGCTGGGATTCATGGGGTGCCTGATGTGAGCCAGCCCAGGGCTGGGGTAGGGCACAGGGCCACCCGTTGGTGTCAGGGGAGAGAGCAGACACCATAAACGCATGAGCACTAAGGGGACTGGTGGCCATGGATGTGCAGGGTGATGGGGGGCCAGGTGACAGAGGATGGTGGTCAGAGGAGTCCTGCCTGGAGGCGGGAGGGAAATCTGAGGCCTGAAGGAGGGGAGGGCAGGACGCCGAGTGTCCCGGGGTGGGGGGTCCAGGCCGAGGAGACGAGGTGAAATGAGGGGCTGTGTGGGGTGTGCCAGGGAGGAGGTAGGGTGTGAGCTCAGACAGGAGGCTGGGGAGGGGCAAGGGCTGCAGACCCCCGTGGCCCCAGGTCAGGATTTTGGAGCGTCTTCTGAGCAGGGTGGAGGGCCTGTCTTCACTGTGAAAGGCCTCCTGCGCCGCTGCGGGCAGAGCTGGGGTTCAGCCAGAGGGCAGGTGAGGGTGCTGCCCTGGGGCCCGGTGGTTCTGGTAGATTTGGGGTCTGGTCTGAGGCTCTCTTGGCTGTGGGGCATGTGAGCCGGCAGCTCGTGTTTTAAGTTTCAAGTTGTTTCTTTTCTGGTTTGCTTATGGTCTTTATTTACAATTCCCAACTTTCTTCCCCTTTCCTTTCAGGGACAGTTTTTTTCCCATTGTGGTAAAAAGCACATAGCATTAAGTTTACCACCTTGGCCATTTTTAAGTGTACAGTTCAGTTGTGTTTTGTGTATTCACGTTGTTGTGCTACAGACATCCAGAACTGTTTGCATCCTGCAGCCCTGAAACGCTGTCCCCACTGAACACCGACCCCTCCGCCAGCCCCTGGCGACCACTCTGCTTCCAGTTCCTGCGATTCTGACTACTTGAGATACTTCACTTGAGTGGAATCAGACAGGATCTGTCCGTTTGGGACTGCCTTATTTCACTCAGCACAAAGTCCTCGAGGTTCATCCATGTTTTAGCAGGAATCAGGATTTCCTGCCTTTTTACGGCTGAAAAATATTCCTTTTATGGGTGGACCTCAGGAGGCATCTCCACTCAGATTTCTGTGGACATCTGGGTTGCTCCCAGCTCTTGGCTACTGTGAATGAGGCTATGGTGACCATGAGGGTGCAGACGCTCCTTTCTAGTCTGGTTTTATCAGGTTTCCAGGCTGTCCAGAACCAGGTGTGGGCAGGATGGGGACAGTTGTGCAGTCCCCAGAGACCCTGGAGGGGCACCAGGTGCAGGACCAGCTGGCACCCGGGGCGTCTCCCTTGGGCGGAGCACAGCAGTGGAGGTCAGCCCTCCCCAGCAGTCGTTTCTTGGGACCCGATTGTTTCGGCAGCTGGCATCACCACAACCCAGGCTCCTGCTCTTCCTCAGTTCACGGGGTGCGTAACGGCTCGGTAATTTTTTCACAGTGCCCCTTGGTCCAAAGAAATACCTAACACTTGTGTTTATTAGGACGAAAGGACTTACTAAGTATTTAGGGGCTCACAACCTAGTAGTAGCAGAGTGGAAAACAAAACCAAAACCAAAAATAAATGAACACACAAACTGAAAAAAACCCAAAACCTTTAATTCTTCAATAACTACAACCGCTTATTAATAGGATGTCTGAAATGGTCAGACTCCATAAAACTTCTCAAACCTTAATCAGATGGGACACTGCCACCTGAGTTACCTGATCCACGAGGATTTTGGCCAGATGTTTGCTTCTTATTCCAGCCACTGCTGCTAAGCCAGCTTTGCAAAGAGGTTTCCTGGAAAGGAAAGCAGTGCAATCTAGCACTGAAACTCTGAGCTCATCTGCGTCGTTCACCAGGTGTCTGTCTGACATGGTGTGTATTCCTGTGTTTCCCTCAAAAGTTTAAAATACACTGTAGCACCCCTGAGAACTCTCTATGGCACCCGGTGGTGCCTTGGCACACAGTTTGGGAACTGCGGCCCTAATTAATGCAAGTCTGTGTGTTTTCCCATTTTGTTTCATTTCTACTTTGCATTGTGTGTGTGTGTGTGTGTGTGTGTGTGTGTTTAATGGAGATGCTGGGGATTGCACCCAGGACCTCATGCATGCTAAGCGTGCACCCTACCACTGAGCTATATCACCCCCCACCTCCCCAAATCTCTCTTTCTTTGTAAGGATGCTAGCCCTTGGATTTAGTGCCCACCCCAATCCAGTATGACCTCCATTTGGGTTGAGTGCATCTGCAGAGACTATTTCCAGGAGAGGTGTTGGGAGCAGGACTTCAGCATATCTCTTCTGGGTCATTATTTAACCCACAACAGATCCCTTCCTTATGGCATACATTAAATTTAGCTAAAAGTGGATCATAGACCTAAATCTAAAGCCTAAACCTATGAAACTCTTGGAAGAAAACATAGGGGAAAATTCTTATGACCTAGGGTTAGGCACAACCTTCTTAGATCTGATGCCAAAAGCACAGGCAACAAAAGATGAGGTAGATAAACTGGATTTCGTCAGAAGTTTTTATGCTTCAGAAGAGACCATCACAACAGCTGAAAAGAGAACTCACAGAATTGGAGAAAAATTTTGCAACTTCCATGTCTCTGGTAAGAGACTTGTATCCAAAATATAAACAGAACTCATTCCTACAGCTCAACAGTAAAAAGGCAATAACTCAATGGAAAAGCATGCAAAGGACTTGAGCAGACATTTCTCCAAAGAGGATGCACACTTGATCAATAAGCACATGAAAAGATGCCCAGCGTCATCAGCCGCAGGGGAGACACAAGCTGAAACTCCAACCACAGTGAGATAAGTGCCCCTTCACTCACGGGGATGGCTACGGCATCCTGACAGTA